TAGTGAATAAGAGGTAACTGTTCAACAAATATGCAGAAAGAAGTGTACGTGGATTGGGCACACACTGAGAAGGTCGACTGGGGACATCACGTGCCAGGTCAGGCCCTCGAGTGGAATCCAGATGGAAAGCGATGAGTTGGGCATCCAAGGTTGACATGGAAGAGATCTTGCGGGGAAGAACTGAGAGCTTGTGGGCAGTCGTGGTGACAGGTTCAAAAGATTGCAGAGAACAGAGTGCACTGGAGACGTGCTACTGAAGCCCTTGTTCCATTAGGAACCCAAGGGATAAATAATAATAATAATAATTCAACAAATTGTACAGAAATATTTGAAAATAATTGAACCCAGTGACCAATATTCAATCTACATATGAATCATAAACTGTTGACTCAACATCCAATTAAGCTCATAATCAATGTTTTATCCATAAATTACCCATTCAAATTAACAGTGCAGAGGTTGTAAAAAATAACTAGGAATCAACCTTACTAGGAGAACCATTGGCCCTAATGCTGAAAAAGACACACAGTTCACAAACCTTTAGTGTAATACAACATCAGTCTATCCGGAAATTATAATTTCTCGAAATTAAGTCCGTAAACGTTTTGCAAGAGGACACCGAACGACATCTATCTAAAATGTCGACTACAGTGGAACATCTCAAGGTCAATGTTAGTATACTCACCAATATGTAATCAGAAGAGGAGGAGGAGGAGGAAAAAACACATATGGTGGCGAATACTTTTGTGGAAAGTAGGCCATATCTTAAAAATCTCTCATACATTCCTCTATTGCAGTGAATCTAATCTACAGCAATGAAAGGTAGATGGTTTCGATTAAGACTAGTATAAACCTAACAAAGTTTGAAGTTCTCTAGCTGTTTTTTTTGTCATACTGGAAGGATCATACAATAAAATCATGGAGAACTGATGGAAATGTAATCAGTATAGAGACCATTACACTTATTCTGTTTTTATTCTGAAAGAGTCCGTCACCAACTGATCTATACTTGTAATTTCTTATTGTTAACCTGGATTGAATTACCCGACTTGTGTTGAAGATACTTACTAGGTTGAAGTGTCACGTACATCTTGCTGGCAAGTCCAAAATGGGACTGGATGTGCTTACTGAATTCTACTGTTAGTTAACTAAGTGAGCACATTCCTTCATCGTATCCATATTCACTTGTTAAAGACAATGTGAAGCTGATTGTTGTCAAATGGTTTGAAGTAATCTTTCGAAATATATGAGTTAACATTTAAGGAAACTTTTTTTGCCAAATTAATTTCACAAGACAAGAGTTTAGTTATCTCAGTCACCTTTCATTTCATTTCATTTCCTTTGATGAACATATACTGATTGCTAAGGGGATGGCATAACATCATAAAATGACAGATATTTATATTTGTTTGATATGTGTAGATGAAAAAGCCAACCGCCTGCTTTCCTTCGATATGCTCCTAAGTCTTAGAGAAGACAGTTCAAGTTTACAATAAACTGACATGGACACAGTAGTATTTAAGTTTCTATAGCTCTTGCTCAACACAGTATAAGCTAGACTTGATAGATGTCTATTCAAAAAGGATCTAATGCAATAGTACAACAGACAAAATGGATGATGACACCAGAATATTAACTGAAACAATAACACTCCATTTTGCCATATCTTGAGAAGAATGTTAAGGAATAATCTTAAAATGAGGTCTGAGGTCTGATATCAGCAAAAGATGTTATGCATCTAGGTTAGTCGTAGTCAAGTAAACCAACTACATTTTGCAGCATAGACCGTGAACATTGTATCTATGATTACATGCTTGTGTAAACACGTATACATAAGGAGAATTGATTAATATATACATATAAGGGTGGTGGAACATGACATAAAATGGCTACAAAAGCAATTGGATTCACAAGTGCAAGTGATAGACAACCATTATCATTAATTGTAAAACACATAATTCATAAACACCACATATATTGGTACTGAAATCGCCTTTACAATGTTGCATAGAAACTGCTACGAATGAATACTCAAGTTTTTCAAAGCACTAGTAATACACAAATTGAAGACCCTGCCCCAGCTATGTGTCATTGCGCTAAACTTACCGTGGTAACAGTTATTGTGCTACCCAATCAACAACAACAACAACAAAAAGCACCAATCGCCATCAATGAGTGAAGTCTAAACGATGTTATCTCTTTCACCTGCCTGCCTAGACAGCACCGTCTCAACTACAGGCAGCGACACAGATGAAGACGTGAAAGCCAGGATGAGAAAGACAACAAGACAGGCTTTCATTAATCTGAACTAATCAGTGTGGAGATCTACTGCACTACACTCAGCATAAAGCGTCAACAAAATCCGGATTTCCATCACCAATCTACTCAATTACGTCAGTGGTTCTATGTGATGGTTGAGAGACTTGACGGCGCGTCACAAAAGCACTTCCATCAAACTACAGACATTCATCAACACCTGCTACCTACGCTCACTCGATACTGAAGATTCATCAGATGGGCAGAGTAATTAGAAAAAGTAAGAAGGAACTGTGGCCTGCTTGCAACGAACCAACTAAGAACCCATCGCCTGACAAATATGCAGAAGAATGTGGAGATGGATTGGATTGATCATACACTGAGAAGGCCGACTGGGGACATCACGCACTAGGTCAGGCCGTCAGGTAGAACCTGCATGGAAAACGACGAGCTGGACGTCCGAGGTGAGAGTGACATGGAAGAGATGGTGTGAGGAAGAAATGAAATCTTCTGAGCAGTCATGGAGCTAGGTTAAGGAGACTGGAGAGAAGAGAGTGAAATCGCGGTGTGCTACTGAATCCCTATGTTCCACCAGGAACCCAAGGGACGAATAATGATAATAATGTCAGTACTTTTATTACGTTTTCAATGATCCAATTAAACCATAGTCATATGAACTACTAAGATATGAGTACCTAATACCTATGTCTCCATGAGATATTGGTTGCTAGTCTGCAAGAATTATTTCTCTTCCATCCTATCTCTGATTCTTTTACTAAATACATGCCCTGAATTACGATACTGACTAAAAGAGAAGTGTATCTTCCCTATCGAAACCCACATGCGTCAATAGGTAGTGGAACCTCTAACTGGTTAACTGGAATCCCATAAAAAGCAGTAGTTTACTGACTAGGGCGTTCATCACAGCAAAAACCTGTGATATAATGACTTTAAAGTGACCTTGATCAAAGATAACATCCAACTGGGTTATCATTAGAATTGCATCAAATGGATCAACCGTTGTTGTACTGTTTTATCCAAGTTTGTCAAAGCTGTATGTTGTTAGAGCACCGGCCCGGTAACCCGATGGTTTCTCGTTCAAATCCGACCGCGGTCCAAATTTTCATCTCACCTTCTATCATAGCCCAGTACAAAGCTGTATGTGTACGTGAGTTCCTAGAGTGCTGTGAAGAAATATATCAGACATTTCACACTTCATACTCAATCAGAAATCAAAGCATGACATAACTGGTATACATGCATTTATATAATGAGCCAAAAATAATTGAATGACAGTGTGAAAGCATAATAGACCGTTGAATTTAAGATGTTTACTTGAAAACTTCTTAACTTACATGAATCTTATTCGTCGTCTAAGAAAGTAATTTAATACCATGAATAAAGCAGAAGACTTTGTTAAAGATTTTAAGGTGATTTAAGTGTTTCTAGAAAAGAAAACAAGTTTCCTAGATTTTCTGTAGTAAACATCCATGGGAAATCCCTACCTATAGCAGTGAACATTTTACGAACGAACAGTGTCTGCGAAGAACATTACACTGAGTAGTTAAACAAAACAGTAAAAACTGAAATTTGAATCACGCAAAAATACATTCCTGGTTAAGGCTCAGTTGATTAGAAAACTTTGTTACTGCAATACTGTAAGTAAAGATTATAAGAAGAATATTGAAAGTTTAAAAATAACTTGGTTTTATCTAAATACTCCTTAAATGTCTGTTCAATAGTGAACGCTATACAGCACCCCTAACTTTTTACATTCCACTCAACAGATCTTTCATCTAGCCTACAAGTGCTTAAATATCTCTCAGAGTGAATTTAGGCAATGAGTTTCTCCCAGTATCTTGTCTACACTGCAAGAATTGATCAACACACTTTAGTCATTGTTCAAGATTTAACATTATATTGATTACTCTCCAGTGGCCGATGAATGTATTATTAATTTTATTTATCCCTTGGGTTCCTAATGGAACATAGGGCTTCAGCAGCACGTCTCCACTCCACTCTCTTCTCTGCAAACTTTTCAACCTGACTCCACGACAGCCCGCAAGCTCTCATTTCCTCCTCCCACGATCTCTTTCATGTCACCCTCACCTCAGACACCCAACTCGTCGCCTCCCATATGGCTTCCACTCCAGTGCTGGCTGGCACGACGCGTGATGTCCTCAGTCGACCTTCTCAATGCATGCCCAATCCATCTCCACTTCCTGCTACTGCATATTCGTTCAGCGATAGGTTCTTGCTTCGTTGCTTCGTTCCCAGAGTTCCTTGTTGATTATCCTCATTATTCTTGCCATCTCATCTTCAGTAACGAGCCAGTGTAGGCAGTTGTTGATCAATGTCCGTAGTTTGTTCGAAATGCCTTTCGTAACGTGCCAAGTCTCTGAAACATACAGAAGCACTGATTTGACATTGGTGTTGAAAATCTGGATGTTGTTCCACATACTGAGTAGAGTGCAGAAGATCTCCACACTGGTTTCAGGCTAATAAACGTTTGTCTTGCTTTTCCGACTCTGAATTTGACATCCTCGTGAGTGCCGCATGTATTTAAAAAACAGTGCTTCCTAGATAGATGAAGGAGGCTACTTCCTTCAAGTTTCTTCCGTTGATGTTGATTGGAGAGTGGCCGATGAAAGTACTTAGTTAAGTCCCCTCCTTCCTACAATATATGAGAATAATTCATTTAAAAAAGTAACCAAGGTCAATCTTTAAATGTATAATGACTTTACCTGTTCAAAATATCTTGTCTTACGATTGGAGCTTGAAATTCTCCTTTAGACTGTTTTGTAATCACAATAGTTTCTTCAGCTACAGAATTTTCACCCTGAAAGTATAAAAGGAAACATTTTTTTGATAAGGAATAATTTACAACAATTTTTGTAGTTACAATACATGTGTAGTGTAAACATAAAAACAGAATTTACACTAATGTAAAATTACCGTTGATTAAAATCGTTAACAGATAGACATTTGAGTCAGTATGGATTATGTAAAAAACAGTCTATTTTTCTGTGCTTTAAAATTTATTCCTAGATATTTCAACGACAGATTAGATACATTCATCAGTATGTACTTCATAACGGAGTATGAAGTAATTCCTAATGAATTTGCCTAGCCTGGTAAAAGAAAGGCTCCAGAACAAATCTCAAGGCTTGGAGAACACCAAACAATGATCTCGCTTATACTCAGTTAAACATTTTTGTTACTAACCATCTTAATCTTTAATAGGCTTTGTAAAATTCACCTGCATTATTCACTTGAGAAGTTGGAAAACAAAAATGATCGATAGAATTCGGTCAATACTCAAGATTAGACAACATGAAGTCGGTTTCTGTGCAGAGACTAATCAATGTATCCAATCCAGTCTTACAGGATACCAACCGTAGCCCAAATGACTCAATCATAACGTCAGTGACTGCAGAACTGGGTCATATGAGTTCAAATCTGACTTGTAGTTACACCTTACTTATGAGTACCAACAAGCACGAAACCAAGGTCCAGGGCTTCCAGCTGGTTGCCTCTAATCAACGAATATCTAAACACATGCGTTCTAACCGTCTATGGATACTAGGTAATTCATTTATAAATACACTTGTGTGGTTGTTTTCAACATAAAAAAGAATCTCTAAAATTGTAAGTAGTCTTCAATAGAAAGTAAAGTGTACACAGCCATCTTGTGGACATCCGTGTAATAGACAATGAGCCATACCAATGGTGTGGAGGGTAGTGATTCTACCCGGCTGCCCAGACCCCGGCAGATGGGGTGGTTTTCAAACCCGCAGTTCAACGGCTAGTAGTCATCTCCTTATACCACACAGCCCGCTAAATAGTACGTTAGAGGACACAACCAAAAACAAATCTCATACTGAAGATATTTGATTTCTATAAATGAAGATGTTAATCAGGATATGTTACTGACAAATTGTTTTTCATTAGTAGTAATACTTTCTAATTAGAATAGAATAAAGTGGATCCCTTTTACTTTGATGGTACCTGAAATTCAGTGGGAAGTAGGATGTAGGATGAGCTATGGTGAGTCAAACAGTGACAGATGACAATTCCTCCTGTATACAAACAGCTCAGAAGCTTTTGCCAACTTAAACCATTTATGTCTCTTCTGTGGTATCCTGCTTTCTATTAAGATTGGAGAGTACTGCACCGCAGCACACTCTATTCTCCTGCATGGTTGTTAATGTAGCCATTAAAATGTAGATGATATGAGAAGACTTCAGATGTTTAACCACTGCCGCCTTCATAACACAAGTCGTGTGTCGTGACTTCACGATGTCAGTGATGTAGAAGTTGGCTGAAGAGTTTTAGGGAGATAACAGTCAGTCAATGGGCATATGAACCTTCATCGACTCACGTGGCTGGGATGTGTGTTGCGCATGCCTAGTCACCATCTATCCAGTCACACAATGTTTGATGATGTAGGTTTCGGCTGCGAAGAGATGAAGGCTGGCCAGACTAAAACATGGTATCACTGCATGAAATCTTTGACTGTTTGTTTGAAGACATGTAAGGGAATGTAGACTTCCTGGCAGGGGTCCGTGTGACAACAGAAATCGGTGTTTTGGAAACTTTGGGTACAGGGTCTATTTCAGTGGTGCTGATGTATCCACACACTATCTGCATCTTAGGCATCATGCCGAATATTACTGCTTTTGATCCTCTTTAGAAGTGTTTCCAGCATTTTGGTTGCTTCTGTACTTATTTCTCTATTTCTCATATTGTTCCCTAGTACACTGGCACTAAAATTTGAATTATGGTAATCTGGACCAACACGCTGTAATGTCAAGTCACATGTTGATGCTAACTAACTGTAGGACTGAGTGACTTAAATAATCTTATCTAATAAGGGAACATTTCGTTTCATCAATTACAATCACGAAATATCTACTCCAAAGACTCATATAACCTTTAAGTAGTCACCTCGACACTTAAAGTAAGGCGGTGAGATGCAAAGTTTAGCCAAAGTAGGACATATGTCTACTCCATTTTAGTGAGTTTTACACTACAATGAACTTTTGATCCCTAACAGTAGTTTCTCGATGACAACAAAAAAAAACTGGAAGTCCTATCAAACGTTTACCTTCCTCTTAAAAGATGGGATTAAGTGTTCACTAAGTAAGTGTCATAAAAATAGTTCACTGAAGCATAACATTTATTCTCACAACATTGTGTTTTGGAAAACTACATTTATCCTTAAATCTCTAAGGCTTACTTTAAAGAATGTACATAATTATAATAGTATATTGTGGAGGGTTGAAATGGTAAGACCAACAAAAATAAAAAATCAATATCAGTGGAAAGTAATTTTAACTCATTTTGTTTCATATTTACCATTTCTTTACGAATTCCAGTAGATAATGTGCAACTCAAAACAAGTCCCATTGTTGAACGAACATTTTCCGTGAAACATAAACTTCCGTCTGGGCAAACTGTTTTCAGTAAAGACTTTTCAAAACTATCAATATCTTCAGTTTGTATCACGTCAGTATCTCTAGAATCAATCACTGGTTGTACACTTCCACGTAGTGATAAATTTAAATTGATTGAATGATTTTCACCACTTTTTAACAATTCCATATTATCTTCAAGTGCATATGTTGCCCATCTCACTGTGCAGTTAAATTTCAACGGTACAGTTGAACTTGTAATCTAAATCAGAAGTGTAAAAATGTCGATAAACCAGTCATTTTTTCTTTTAAAAATTAACGCTACTTAAAAGTAGTATGAATTATATATCACAAAATTCAAATGGGAAGAGTTATCATTGTCCTGCCAGAAATTCAGCTCTAAGCTTGAATAGGTTATTATGAGAAGTGAGTCGATAGTTTTGAATCCTTCGACTGTGGTTCCTTCAAGCGTTCTGAAGGTGTATAACTTCAATTGGGTAATTTTCGTCTGTTTACCTCATACTACTGAACTAAAAATAAGCCATATAAACTTTCTGATAGAATCCTTTCACACTTTAAAACTGATAAGATATATGTTTGCATACACATAATACTATTAGAGATGGTCATGGTATCCTTTACTTGTTTTAGTTTAATTCAAGCGAGTGTAACTCCAAAGTGAAAGAAAACCATCAATTCGTCGTCGACAGTTACAATACTCTTAATCTTCCGAGAAGCATACGTCAGAAAGATGAAGAAATTTGTTAGTAAGACTGGTTGAAGTGTTTCACTATTCTTGGAATTTCTAGCGATAAGATGTATACTAAAGTCAATAGAGGTGTAAGAATTGATCGTAGAAAAACACTAGCACCAATCATAAAGCGAAGAAGGGCAGATGTAAAACATTTTTGAAATGATGGAGAAAATTTGTAGCTCAGGTGGATGGTCTTCGTTGTGTTGTGTTCTCTGAGCTAGGTTGCTTAGTCATGAAGCTTTCATCGTCTTGCTCGACAGCGACATCATCAGCTGCACTAACCTCAGTATGAAGTGAGCTGTCAATATCTCTCCATTACTGAGTGATTTAGTGGCTTGCTCTGATGATGTGCTATGTGATTGGTTGTCTCCTTCGATTGTTGTGTCACCGACGGACTGTATAGACTTTCCTGTTGGCTGCTCGTCCCTCTGCTTCACCTCTCACCTTTGTCTCCTTTATCATCTTCCTCACTGGTTGATAGATTGCGTCTACGTCGATACATCTGTTGATTGCTGACTGACTGATGTGAATGCCAAGCTTCTAGGAATTCTCTGATGATATTCTTTGCGTTTCCCCTCTCCGTCCAAAATTTCTACATTGTCGAAATTGAATTCATGTCCATAGTTTAGATCCACGTGCATTGAAATGAGTGACGAAATGTCGTGGCATTTAACAGCCAACTGATGTTCATGTGAATGATGCAGGTGAAGAGGGTGACCACTTCGTCCAATGTAGTGCTGACTACAGTTATTCCAGTTGATTTTGTAAATGAAATTGGGTTTGTCTTCTTTGGTTGTTGCATCCTTCGGTCCGTATAATAGGGTAGGGTATGGAGGGAATTTGTTGGTTTATGAGCCACACCAATTCCAAGTGGTCTCAGCAATCTTGTCATAATTTCTGATACATTCTTTATGTATGGTAGGACGATGCCTTTGTTGGTTTCTGTCGATGACTTTGTAGTTGATGATGTACGGGATAGGCATCTTCTGATAACGTTTCGTGGGTAGCCGTTCTTCTTTAGGGTGGACATCAGGGAATTTTCTTCGTTTCTCCTTCCAGTTGTTGTGCTGCAGTGTGTTCTCGCTCTTTTGAATAGAGTCTGCACGCAACTGATTTTGTGTGTTGTTGGGTTGTTGCCATTGTAGTTGATGATTCGCTCAGTGTGTGTTGGCTTCCTGTACACTTGGGTTTCCAGCTTTCCGGCATTTGTCCTACTGACTAAAACATCCATGAATAGTAGTTAGTTGTTTGACTCTTTCTCCATTGTGAATTTGATGTCATTGAAAACGTTGTTGATCAAACTGCGGGTGTTTTCTATATCATCTTTTTTAATGATGACAAAGTGTCGTCTACATAACGAATCCAAATTTTGGTTTGATCACAGGTAAAATAATAGCTTCCAGTCTCTGCATCACTGCTTCTGCTAATAATTCGGATATCGGTGATCCCATTGGAGTTCTTTTCATCTGTTTGTGTATCTTGTCGTTGAATTGGAAGTATATTGTCATACAAAGGTCGATGAGTCCCATCAGACTTGAACATTTGAGTTTTGTGCGTTCTGAAAGGTTTTTGTCTTCATTGATCGAGAGGGATATCGTTTCCTTGGCCAACTGAGGTTCGATGGATGTGTATAGTGCTTTAACGTCGAAGGATATCATTAATTCATCGTTTTCTATGTTAATATTTTTGATCTTTTCTAAGAATTCTGTTGATGACTTGATGGAATGTCCGCATGATTGAACGAGGTGTTTCAATTTTCTCAAAAGTTCTCTTGATATGTTGTATATTGGGGTTCCCGGAAGTGAGACTATTGGTCGTAGAGGGATATCGGGTTTGTGTAGTTTTGGTCTGTCGTAGAACATTGGACAAAGCTGCAGCCCTCTTCACCTTCGTCTACATGAGCACCAATTGGCTGTTAAATGCCACGACATTTCGTCACTCATCTCAGTGCACCTGGATCACAACTACGGACATGAATTCAATTTCGACATTGCAGAAATTTTGGATGGAGAGGGGAAACGCAAAGAATATCATCAGAGAATTCCTAGAAGCTTGGCATTCACATCAGTCAGTCAGCAATCAACAGATGTATCGATATAGACGCAATCTATCAACCAGTGAGGAAGATGATAAAGGAGACAAAGGTGAGAGGTGAAGCAGAGGAACGGACAGCCAACAGGAATGTCTATACAGTCCGTCGGTGACACAACAATCGAAGGAAACAACCAATCACAGACCACATCGTCAGAGCAAGCCACTAAATCACTCAGTAATGGAGAGATATTGACAGCTCACTTCATACTGAGGTTAGTGCAGCTGATGATGTCGCTGTCTAGCAAGACGATCAAAGCTTCATGATTAAACAAGCCAGCTCAGAGAACGCAGTACAACCAAGTAATGAAATTCGTTCGTCATCATTTTTCTCCTGTCAGCTGTACTCTTTTCAGAAACTTATTTCACATGGTACGCAATTGCCAAGGAAATGGAAAAACACGGTGTAATGTGTCATTAAGGGTGTACTGAAAACACAGTCAGATAATGTTTGAAATCCCACAACTTGAAAGAAATATTAAAGGTGGTCAGATGAAATGAATTCAAGTTTGCACCAAAATCAGAGAGGAAATCACGTAACACACCAAGAAACTAGCATAAAGATGAACGTATTTCAGAGTGATGAATACAAAGGAACAGGAACTGATAAATTGAGATAAATGGGTGATAGAAGTCTTAAGGAAAGAAAAGTTACTTTCAATGCTCAAAATCTATCATATTATGGGTGTGCAATACCAATACCAACGACAGAACTACCAGTGAACACAGGCTTTCCGTCAAAAGCAGAAGTCCTGAATGCCATAAACTGCTGAAATTAGAAAAAGCAACAAGACCAGATGGGATTCCACCAGAAGATCCGGAAACAGACTCAGAGACAACAGCAGACACGCTGACAGCACTACTGCAGAAGGTTTGGAAGGAAGGAAGGGTGTCTACCTACTGATTGGAAGAAGGGATACCTTATCAAACTCCCAAAGAAGGGTGTTTCTAAGCCTTTGCAAGAACTGGTGCGGAATCATGCTGCTGTCCACCACAAGCAAAATATTACCCCGCATCATCCTGGAGAGACTGAAAGATGCTCTGCATTCGAAATTATGACCGGAACAGGCTGGCCAGCTGGCTTCAGGAAGGATCAATCGTGTGCCGATCAAATTGCGATGCTATGCATCTTCATAGAGCAGAGTATAGAACGACAGTCCAGTTAACTCTCTACCTCAACTTCATCGACTTTGAAAAGGCCTTCGACAACGTCGACCGAGAAGTAAGTTGGCAGGCAGCTGCTTCAACAGTACCGTTTTAGTGCAACTAATCTTTATCAATCTCATTCAACAGCTATATGACTACCGCACATGCCAAGTGATCCAAAATGGAAAGCTGAGTAACGCCCTCAAAGTGAGGACAGGAGTAAAACAAGGCTGCCTACTATCACCCATGATCTTCCTGATTGTGGTCGACTGGATCATGCAGCAAACCGTGAATAGCGAGAAGATGGGCATACGCTAGCTGGAACGATGAAAAGACCCCACAAGAAGATTTGGATATCGCCAACGATGATGATCTTGTCGCACAAACTCGAAGATCTAAGGGGGGAAAATTACAAGCTGACAGAAGAGACGAGGCAATGAATACGGGACTTCAAGTGAATTTAAACAGTTGGTAGAGCACCTGGCCGGTAACCCGGTGGTCACTGGTTTGAATCCGACCACGGTCCATATTTTCATCTCACCTTCAATCATCACTCAGTAGAAATGGTAGTCTGCCAAACTACGGCTATCTTAAATAGTTAAATAATAATGAATGTAGAAAAGACGGAGATGAGGAAGAAATCGAACCAACAACAGCATCAACAACAAGCACCAATCCCCATCAACGAGTACAATCTAGACGAAGTTGTCTCTTTCACCTACCCACCTGCCTAGACAGCATCGTCTCAGCTACAAGGGGTGGCGGTGGCCGTGACACAGATGAATACATGAAAGCCAGGATGGGGAAGACAGCAAGACAGGCTTTCATCAATTTTGAAATAATCGGTGTGGAGATCTACTGCACTCAGCATAGAGAACAAGGTTAGGGTTTTCAACACTAATTGAGTCAAGTAAGTCAGTGGTTCTATGTGATGGTTGAGAGACTTGACGTGTTATGGAAAGCATTTCCAACAAACTGAGGACATGTATCACATCAACAGCTACCTACGCTGCCTCGATACTGAAGATCGATCATATGGGTAGAATAATGAGAACAAACAGCAAGGAACTGTGGCTTGCTGACAACGAGCCAATCAAGAACCTCTCACCTAACAAGTAGGTAGAAGTAAGTGGAGATAGACTGGGCCTACACTGAGAAGGCCGATTGGAGACATCATGCGCTAGGTTGTTGAGTGGAATCCAAAGGGGAAATGACGAGTTAGGTGTCCGAGGCGCCGGCACTATGGAGGAGATCATGTGAGGAAGAAATGA